TTAATAATTATACAATAATAAAAGATTTAAATTCATATGTAGTTAACATGGCCATCCCAGTTATAGCCCTTAAGTTCCTTATGTTATTTATTTTGCCCAACCACCAATATAAATCTTACAGAGATATTCAAATGGCTTTATCAATGGGACCAAATGTGTCTTTTTATATATTGATGGTCATGTAGTATTGTAGCTAACATGTAACTTGGTGTTCACAAATCTGCTATATATATATATATATATATATATATATATATATATATATGCTACTTTTAGTATTCACCCAGCTTCTAAGTGCACTAGGACATACCACTAAAATCTCTTAAGCCACTTTTCATATTTAAAAAAAGCAGGAAGGGGATCATACAGTTAAAGCAGAAGCTTTCTCAGAGTTAGAATCAAAATGAGCTAATGTGTCAAAGTGGTTTGTAAAAAACAGGTCTCCAAATAGATCTCAGATGAGGAATAGGAGAAGAAATAATTTTTAAGGTACATATTTCAGATTGCCATGAAGAGGAGAAAAATGGCAATCAGAAAGTGAAAATAAAACATTTAACTTAGAAATATGAAATAATCTACAATTTTTTGCTTTAAAACTTTACTTTCTCTTTCTTTGTGTGATATGCAGAGTGCTATCCTTGCAACATATTTAGAAAGTTGTAAGGGGGAGACTGATCAAAAATACATCAAACAGATTTGGAAGGGGGTGGATATAAAGTTAGAATTTCTGAGTCATGAAAACATCAGATAGCACTTCCCGAAAGGTGTAACTTTATTTAAAACTGAGCTGCTGTGAATTCTATCATGCTGCAGACACCTCTGAGTCAACAATCTCTGTTGGCAAATTGTTATGCTAACAAATTCACACACAGACTGAAAATTTCCATTTTGTAAACAAGTAAGTGGGTTCTTGATGATCTATCTCATATCCTGAAGTGGAACTTTGGGAAGTGGAATCTTGGCTGGAGTGACCATGTGTAATCATTTCTCACATTAGCAAAGTGGATTCAAATATTTATCACCCAAATCAGGAAGCCACTGAGAGCATAAAAACAAAACGATGTCTGATATTCTTCCTCAAGTTTGGGAAACACAAGCTACACATCACTGGCTTCACTGGCTTGATTCCCTGAGCCAGAGAGAGTGGTGTAATGTGTTAATTTGGTTTGCTTAATAACACTAGGGCTTCTATTGAGCACAAAGATAGAACAGGAATTCAGAAGTCTGCCAGCCACATGTCTGACATATGCAAACATGAGTGTACATGTGAGCAGACAAAGGTTGGCTGATCAGCCTTCTTTGCAATTCAGAGTCAGTCACAGAGGCTCTGGTTGTGCGTTTTTCCATCCCCATGTCCATCACACAATCAAAAGGACTGAGATACATGACACAGCCTGCAGCTGGGGGGAAATCACCAGTAACTACAGCAAGGAAAAGGTGAAATACTTTTGCATATGAGGGAGTATAAGAAACACTGTGCACATCTATCACAAAAACTGGCATAGATACATTTTTTAAAAACATATACATGGAAAACAATGTCCACGAATGAACACCAGAGTGGAAGATAGTGAGATGCCCATTAAAGCTTAGCAGTGTTTAGCATGCAGGAGATGCTCAAGATGTTGAAGTCATTATACATTAGTTTTTCTTCCTTTCCTTTGATAAAATTACAATTCGTGGAAGGAACATCGTTTATTTACCAAGAGGTTTTGGGATTCCATGACCACAAGGCTCTTCCAGCTCAACGACCTGAATGAACTTATCAGTAGTTTTACCTTTGCATGCCCCTATTTTACAGAGAAGTGAAAACACTGATGAGAATGGACACGTCTCTGTGGTCCTCTAGCTGCCAAGTGGAGACAGGTTAGAGAATGTAAAGGGAATGCCCATTGTACATCAAAATCTTGGGCCCTGACTTATTTTTCATATATTATTTTGTCCCATTTCTAGATACTTTAAATTCTCCAGCCTATTGTGGAAGAGTATGGGTTTCCCTTTGGTCTCATAAGGCAAGAACAGGAACAGAAGGAAACAAAGAATTTGGAAGAGTCAAGTCTTTTGTTATTATGTAGCCACTACCTTTCTTCCCTCTCAGAAAGTAGGAGTGACACCTATCTTTTACATCTTTAAAAACAGACCTTGGGAAGCCATGGTTCAGGTTCCTAAAGATGATGCAGGACTAAACCTGGGTACAATTAGAAAATGGACGCATCTTGTAACAACAAGAACAACAACAAAATAGGACTGCGCATTACAAACTAGATCCTGGTTCTATGGGTAGTGAATTATATGACCTTGTACAAGTCATTTCACTTTGCTGAGCATTCGTTTTCTCTTGCGCAAAATGTAGTGACACTTTCAGTATTTTACTGAAGAGGAGAAAATATTTGTATGTCATAAAAAGATACAAAACTAGACTACAAAATCTGACCTTGTCTTCCAAAAGTATGCCCTTTATGTCTTCAATCCATCTATAGATAGATCAATTGCTCAATTAATCTACTGAGTCTTCCAATTGGGAAATTATGGAAATTCATAATTCATCATGAATTATGACATTAGCATGCTATGAAATGAATCTCTGGTTTTAAGATATCAGATATTAAAAGATAGAAGAATCTATCTTTGTAGGGGCAGGGTGTGTGTGTGTGTGTGTGTGTGTGTGTGTGTGTGTGTGTGTATGGGGGTAGGGTGGGTGATGGACTATCCCCTTAGGTAGAAATTGCCCTGATACCCCAAAGACATCAGCCTGCTTTCCCTGCACCAAGTCTGGTTTGCAGAGAGCTTTTTAAAGCACGGTCCCACAAACAATGTGAAATTCTTTTTCCTCTGCAGCCTTGGTCTGCAGTGACAATGGCAGATGCTAGACTTTGGCCTGTCTAGAACAGTTAATTAGGTTATAGAGGCTGCCAAAAGTTCCAAAGTCATCCAAAGAAAATACAACACTTTGAGATCTAATGCAAAGGTCAGGAGAAACAAATACTAATCCCATTTGTAAGAAGAGAGAAATAAATTAGTAGTTGAGGGGAAGAGAAGAAATCAGACAGGTCCCTGAAAATCTGGCAACTTCTTTTCTATCTTTTATAAAATCAAGCTTAATGTGGCCCTGGTTCTTTTCCTCTTTAATAGATACTGCATTTTCATAAAGGCTAATACTGTAATAGATGTTGTATATTCATAATCTGTTCCAGAGCTCATCAGAGGATACCATTCCTCCTAGAAGACATCGCCATCTCAGAATAACCAGTGTGGAGAGAAAAGGATTTACCAAATTGAATCTACTGAACAAATGGTGGATATGTTCGGCAAATAATCACACACACAAAAAACTGCTCTCTGTGCCCAGATTTTCAGGAGTGGAAAAGCAGCCTTAAAAGCCTAGACAGTCATTTATTCCCGTGAGGTTACCCTAGAACATCTGTGTTGGGTGTGGGGTGGATTAACAAAGTAAGCAGCAGTGTACTGGACTTCAGTGCCACCAGCAGGGGCCAGAGGAAGTGCAGCCCCTGAGGAGCCAGAGGCTTTCAGCAGAGAGGATACAAGCCTAGCTGTACCCACCCACCCTCTTCTCCTTTGTGACAATTTCTCAAAGTTGTTCTTCCTCTCTAAAATACAGGTATTCCTAACCCCCAACTCAGAATACAGGTTTTGAAGGCCAAACTCTGAAGTCTCTAAACTGCTCTCTCCCTCCCTCTCTACAATACAATGATTTTTATTTTACAAAGTTTTGCCTCCTCTTTTGGTTATGTAGGATTTCTCTGGGTGAGTGCAGTGTGTCAGGCGATGGCAAATTTACTTCAGGGTCCCTCTGCATCTCATGGCACCGCCTGGGACGTTTACAAGAAGCCAGCGCTGGCCACCTCCAACCCAAACAAAGGCAGCACAGTCCGGTGTTCAAGGGATCAGACTGGCGTCAGGTGGAGCCCACCCACAAGAAACAGCCAGCCTAAGCAACCACGAGAAACCGCGCCCCACCCCCAGGCCAACTCTGATTTCTCGAGCCACCGCCCCATCCATGGATGCTTGCACTTGGTGAGACGTTGAGCTGGGGGCGAGGGGTCGCTCTGCGGAGTCCACGCCCGCAGCCCTACCCAAGCGCGCTGGCCACCGGGGCTCCCAGCATCCTCGTGGCAGGAGGGCGGAACAGCCAGGGAAAACTGGGCTGGAGCAGGAAGGATCCCAGGGAGCCTTGGAGGCCTCCAGAGAACTTCCCACGAGATCTGCTCCCGGGAAGGGTCTGCGACCACGCGGCAAGGAGCACGTGAGCGTCGCCGCTTGGGTATAAAATCCGAGTGGGAGAGCGACTGTCCTGGCAGGACGCGGCCACCTGCTCCACGAGATACAGGGCCACGGCCGCCCTCTCCAGACAGTCCGGAGGGCTGAAGCCCGGGACCCTGCGGGTCGGGTCTCTAGGGAGCGTGCATCCAACTTTGAAGCCCGATTTCTTGCAGTTGGGCAAAAGCAAGGCGCGCAGAGCACTGCACGCCTGGATTCACCGAAAATGCTCAGGTTTCTTTGACCTTTAGTAGACCTGGAGGAGGAATGGCAGGAATCTCATCTAACTGATTTGTTGACCTCCAAAAGGAGGCAGAGCACTAGGCTTGCTCTCCGGGCAGCACGCGAGGCTCTAGCGAGCCGGCTCTCCAAGCCCCAGCCTCCCTTTGAGCTGCGGTCATTTCTGCGCGGCGCGGGAGGCGGGTCCATACCAACTCGGGGCGCCACTCCTAAAGTTTGCTCTGCTCTCCTCGCCCTCCGTCCCCGCCACCTGGCGGCCCCCTCTTCTCGTGGAGGGCGCGGACGGGGACATGACCGCCGGCTCGGCCACCGGCGCTGGCTCTTCCCGGCGCAAACCGGCGATGCGCGCGTAGCCGCGGCCGCCACGCTGACCTCCCGCCGCCTGAGCCCCGGCAGCCCGCGGAGGCGGCGCCCCGCAGCGGCAGGCGTGGGCGGCGCAGGGCCGGGGGCCGTATGGCGGCTCTCCGCGGGTGGCCGGCGCGCCACGAGCTCGCGGGCTGCGCCTCGGGCTCCGAGAGGCTCTGAGCCGCGCCGCCTGCGGACGTCGACTTCGCCGAGCCGCGAGCCGCAGGCAGCAACCCCAGGAGGGCAGCAGGAGGAGGTGGCCGCAGCGGCTGCGCCTCCCGGAGGGCCATGTGGCCGGCCGGCGCGGGCACCAGGCTGCCCTGTCCCCGGGACTCGGCGCTCCGGCGCGCGGCTTTCTCCGGGAACCTCACGGCCCTGCCTGCGCACCTCGTGCCCGCCGGCCGCAGCGTGCGGGTCTTCATCAGCGCCAACCCTGAAGGTGAGTGTCCTGCTCGGGCTCGTGTGTCTCCGTCCCCTCCAGCTAAGGAGAGCCCTGAGCGCGTGGGAATTGGATTCCAGTCACTTAGAGTCGTCCCTCACTCGTCCGCTGGCCACCCGACTGACTCTAGGACATTCATTTTCTTCCCCGGTCAAGCTGAGAATCACCAGGCACTCTGGTCGCTCCATCTGCCTCCATGGCCACCACTCCCTCCGTCCCTTTCCTTTTATAGGGTGATCTCAAACGCAAGTAATGTAGTAATTCCTCTGCCTTTGGCTCCGGGCGACTTCCTAAATGGGGTTCCCTCTTTTTGCCACTTGTTCTGGGCAAGGCGAGATGAGTCTGACTCTGCTTCAAACTGGCCTCTTGCGGGTAACAAGGTAACCTCTGCTGTAGGCTGCTAAGCAGGCCAGTGTGAACCAAAGGGCTGTGGAGGTCAAAAGGCCACACACTGTAGTGTCCAGGGACGGCCTGGTCCCATGACCTCATCTCAGGGGCGGTGTCCTTGGGTTTGCTCATTTTAGTCCAGAACCTGGCCTACCTAACCGTGTTCCGGCTCAGTGCCCGCTGAAAACTTGTTGATTTATTGCATTCACAATTAGTGGCCCAGCTGTAGGTGGTCAGATTCTTGCTCAGCACTGCGCTTGGTTCTCAGCCCTAAATGTTAGCTTTGATTTCCACTAGGTGAGAGAAAAAAGAAAGGATGCATCCGACTGGAGCTGGATAAAACTGCAGGAATTCTTATTCTCTAGGAACTGGTTTCTAGGAGACTTATTTGTGAGAGATTCCAGAATTAACTTTTTTCTGTACTCTAACAAGCCTTGGGTTTAAAGGAAAAAAAAGAAAAAAGCGTACTCTCAGATGATCCCTGGACAGGATCTTCTTGAAAACTCAAGGCTATGGTTGCTTGTGAAAACCATTGAGAAGCAACTAAACTAACTTTCTAGAAAATTATCGTTTCAAAAATGGCAGTACTGGAAGTTTCTAGCAAAGCTCTCATTATAAAATAAGAACGGGAAAACAGGTAACAAATACTGATTAATATTACAAGGAATGCATATTTTGAGAGAAGCAATGACTTACCTTTATCAGTTGCTGTTCACTTTGAAGGAATTTTAGGAAAATGTGATGAACTTTTCAGGAATGATTTTATCTTAAATGTGTCCCAGAATTTCTACTTAAATCTAGATTAAATAACTATAAAGACATGTAGCCCGATTTAGGGATTTAAAGAAACCTGAAAGTTTGTTAGAAAATATTTAGTACTGAAATTTTCAATTGTCTGGGGTTTTAAAAAGTCTTACAAATAGCATTTAATCTGCTGGTCCAAAGCAGTAACTTTTTAAAACAGTGAAAAAATTTAATATGAATTTTTGTTTCTTTGAATTTGCAATTTCTATGATTAGAATAGTGCATTTATAGTACTGGTTTAATACTGAATTAATATTCAAGATTAAAATATTTGTCTTATGCCTGAAAATATCACTTGTCAGATTCCCTACTTTCTTGAAATAAAGACTTCAGCATATGTCAGTACAAGGAGGGCAAATTCGAGGGATGTGCCAACAGTTATGGCTTTTAGTTTGTGTTTTTTCTGGACAGTTTCCATACTGATCTTAAAAGGCTCTAATTTTACCCAAATTGGAGAGCCAAGGGCATATTGAAGACAACTCAGATAAGCATTTTCAAGTGATCTGAATGTGATGCCTTAAAATCTTAGTAAATGCTCCGTGAGAGGCAGCACTTTACTGTAGGACCTTTATGGATGCAATTTAGAATGCAAATGCTTGTGTTTTGGTATGATCCAATATTAGATTCTTGGCCAATACTGAAGAACCTCTCCAGTGTCAAATTAAGACAAAGGATACTGTCTCATGCTTTTTTTAAAAACAGAAATCCAATTTATGTTCTAAATGAAGGCTGTTTTGTGTAGAAGCCACAGCGATACTTCAAGAATCTAGCAAAGTTCTTGCTTAGGACTAAAACTAACATGGAATTTCTCCATCCATAGTGACAGTAGCTTGTCTTCAGAGTGAAAAAATGAAATTTCCCTGTGTTACATTAATATCTTAATTTCCATCTCCAATCTTGTGACCATGGCGAACCAAAGGGTGTTCCCCTTGTGCTAAGCTTGTTTGAAGTTAAGCTACTTGCTTTAATTCATACAACAGAATGAAGCAGGGTAGAACTTGTGGGATATTCAAAACACCTGTTTTAATGTTCTATGACTAGTCTCAGTTCTTGCTAGAGTCCAGTAAATATCACATGAATACATTGTCCGAAGAGTGTGGCATAGATGTTGGATAATGCTGTACAGCATCTTCTGACTGTCAAGTTAGAAGAGTATGAACAGCTGGAAAGGTTCAGGACGATCTGACTCACTTGCTGCCACTGAGAGGCAGCCCTAGGGACATTCAAGGAGACTTTAGAATGTGCTAAATGCTACTAGACACATTCTTGCCCAAAAGTGTATCTACCTCTGAATCCTTACTGTCTGGTCTCTGAACTAGATCCCCACCCAACTAGGAGAGAAAAACTCCCCTAAGAAGTCTGTTATTCACACCTAGTGTGGCATGGCATTCAGTTGGAAGCTGGCAGCTGTCCCCACACAGCTCAACCTGCAAAGAGCTGGTTCCACGAAAAACCACCAGAGACATGCTATGCCTACTCCCTGTACCCAACCCTATCTATCACCTAGCCTTAGACCTGCTACTCAGTGACCAAAAATTTTGCATCCTCTTTAGGACCTTCCTTTTCTACCTAAACTGCCCTATAAAAACATGCTGTCAGCCCTTGGTCAGGGCTAACTGTCTTTTCACCCCTGGCTCAACTATGCAGGTGGGCATCGAAGTCCTTGCATGTTGCGTCAGCTTTGCCTGCCTCAGTGGTCTCAGTTGCGCCTTAGTTTAGCCTAACACTTAGCACTGAAGACACAGGAGATGGATTCCTGTGGGGAGGCGCTAGCACTAGCCCAGATTTGCATAAATAGCTAGGCTTTGAACTTTATCTAGTCCCACCTCCCACCCAACATAAAAAATGCCATCTGCAGCATCTTTACAATCCTTGGAAGGTTTCTAGTCATTTAGCCATTGTCTGTCTGCCAGAGCAGCATTTATACCTCCTTGGAGAAAAGATTTTAAAACATGTAATATCCTCCCCTGTGATTAAATAGTCCAGATACATGGAGAGAAGAAGAACCTGCATTCCTTCTAATATTAATTAGCATTGTTACCATGATTCTCTCCCTGTTACTGCAGTTTGAGGGCCTTTCTCTTCCTTCCTTCTGTCCTAAACAAATACAAGGTAAAGTCTTAATGCTGAAAGAAAACTAGAATGCTGTTTTTTGCAACTGATGTGGGATGATGGGCCTGCATCAGTTTTTATGGGTAATTCTCAGAACAGATTTGATTTTGGAATTCTCCCCATCTCTTATTTTTTTAGACTTTGAGGGAAAATGCTTATATTACTGTTTAATGTGTGAAGTCATGGTTAACACCCCATGTTAAATATATGTCTATAGGGAGGCGTGACTTCATTGTAGTAAATGTTGTGTGAAACCTTCTGTAATTATGTAAATGCCTTTATCTGACATGGTCATATGGCTATTGAGTGCTAAGAATGACTAAGAGTCTAAATTTTGAATTTTGTTTTTAATAGGCTAAAATTTAAATAGGCATATGTGGCTATTGGTTATTTTATCATACAGAAAAGCTCCAAGTAGATAAAGATTATAAGAAGCCTCCTGTTAGCAAAGGTAAGGCTTGGCTGCAAGTGACTCAGATCACTTTAGGTTTTGCTCTGGAACGACCTTTTCTTTCGAAATCTTGCCAGACTGAGGAATTGCAAGAAAGTGATGTGGACTTTTATTGGAGACTATGGTTTTTAACTCTGCATAGGAGTTTTCCAATATTGGACCCAGAATTGCACAGAGTTGGCCTTCCAGATAATGTCAGCAATGGATGAAGCAGGGACTCTGCCTCCTCGCCCACAGAGTTCACCCTTTTAAAAGCCTAAGACATGAGTACACAAGGAAGAATGGCAAGTTTCCCTGCAACTGAGGAAGAGCAGACTGGGCTGAGCAGTCATGGTCCTTGGATCAAGCTCCTCCTCCTCCCCTGAGAAGGAGATGATAACTTCTCCTGTTCAGATGCATCCTGCTCTATACCAATGCATCTTCCTCTGTGTGTAAAAAGACATCTGGAGCAGAAGGAAAAACCTCCATTCATCTCCATGCATCTTTCTGCCCACTCTTCTGCACTGGTCATCTTCGAGAATTACACGCTTGTGCCCACAGTGTTGGTGAACATGTGCCCAAACTGTTCGCATTTTCTTTCATTTGTATGGCTTTACACCTTTCAAGATCTTGATAGAAAACCTTGTTCTCTCTTTTGAGAGGAAGCACAGCAAAGACGCCATGTTTTCCATGCTGTGTGCACACATGTTTAGGGCTGCAGCAGTAGCTTATTTAAGCTTTAGCTTGCCTTCTGGGGCAACAGACAGAAAAATTTGCCTTAGGAAATTCACATGAAATCTGTCAGTGTTCATCACCACTACTTTTCTTGTCTCTCCTAATATATATATAGGACAGACATCTGTCATATATACGTGTGTGTATATATGTATATGTGTATATATATATATATATATATATATATATATAGTGTCTTACCCCAAGAATATGGTTAAAACTTAGGAATCTTAAAGGCAAATTACCAAGTTGCTACTTCATGATAATATACATAGAATGTTTATAATTAATGAGTCATGAAATTCTAGTGGTTGTATCTTCTAAACCCTTATCAGATACTGTTCAACAAAAGAAAGTGTTAGGTATATGAATAGACTTGCCAATCAGACTTCCCTAGTTTAAATCCTCGATCGGCTATTTAATGTACCATTTCTTGAGTGAGTTGCTTAATCTTTTTGTTCTGTTTCCTAACTTGTAAAAGAAAACAACTGAAGCTTCTGCCTCACAGGATTATTGACTAAATAAGCTAACA